AAATATTTTCGAAGTCGTGTGGGCTTTGCTTTGTATGGGCTGCACAGATTTCGTAAATATTTGATTAGGTATGTTTTAATAGGTAGGCGTTAATTACTTAGCCAAAGCACAGCGACTTCGAAAATATTTGATTAGGTATGTATAGTAAATGGAAAACTACCAATCAGTTAGTTTTTACTTTTTAGTGCTTTTGTTTGAAGTCGGCTTTTTATTTTTTTGTTAAAAAAAATTTCTTATTTTTCCCTTTTTAGTGTAGACAGTAGTTTCTAGAAAAGTAAGGATTCTAACGTGTTAGGCTTGTCAAATCAAACAAAATAAGCCCAAACTCAAAAGTATCTACTATTAGCCGTTGAAGAGTTCCACTTATCCACCTTCTGGCCTTGCCATCCAGATCAGGTCAACAATACCGGAACCACTGTATTATCAGAACGAAAATAGAAATATTTGCAAAGTTTCAAATCAATATGACAATTAGAAGTAGGTTAAATAAAATTATTAGCTAGTTTTCCACCCTTAGGGGTGGTATTTTTTTTTGAAATTTAAATGGGACCAATCTGGAAGTATACCCTTTCAAACGACAAAACAAAAAAATGTCCAAATCGGTTAATAAATGACGGAGTTCTGAGGTAACAAACATAAAAAAAAAAAAAAAACATACAGTCGAATTGAGAACCTCCTCCTTTTTGAAGTCGGTTGAAAATAGTTGCAGTCGCAATATATCACGCACCAACAATAGTTGAATGAATAATACATTTTTTATTAATTAGATTATTGGACACACACGTAGAGAGACAAACAATGCAAAAAATTTTAACAGCAATTTTCCTTTGGAATTCTTTGACGGGGGGTCACTGGCAGTCTAAATTTAGATTTTCGGGGTAAAAGACCCGTTGCGTCATCCGCCATTTTGAATTTAAGGGTTGATTTTTGTTTATTGAATAACTTGTTTTTTCAATTTTACACGAAAAATAGTTATTACAAAAGTTATTTGAAATTAAATTTCCTACAATTTTTTCCTAGTTAAAAATTTTTGCAATGACAAATCCTAATTCGATTGGTCTAGAACATTTTGCGAAAAATAAGCTACGTACAAAAAAATGATATGGACGGAGTCCCCTAAAAATGTCAAAGTCAAAAATAGTAGCGTGATTTTGCTGTGTATACTACTAATTTCGATTTTGCTATACCCGATCGTTTACTTTCTTTAAAGAATATAAAAAAATCGCACGTCATTAGTTTACATTTTTTGAGAAGAAAAAATAAATAAAAAAGATTATACTATATTCTGTTTTTATTTTTTTTTAAATTTTCCTCTTAAAAGAGTAACAGCATAATATTAGCTAATTTATTATTTTCTTTATTATAATTAAAACGTTATATAAATAATTTCTACTTAAATATTACAATAATTTTGCAACCTACAAAATGCATTCATCACGAATATCATTTTTTTTGAGCTTTTAAACTTTAATAGTATTTTTTTGTTACCAGTTTTTCTCTTTTTTTAAATTCAATCATTTGTGTCTCAGTAATTAATCATAGTTCATTACTCGAGACAGGTGGAGTAGTTCTGCAAACATCACAGTCCACTTATATATTTCTATGCTAATGACTGTTTGGAAATTTGGCATTGAAATCGCCTGCAATATCGGAAGCTAGGTCATATAAAGTTGATTTTTTATACCTACTCATGGTCTTAATATATTAATTAAACCTTTTTATCAAAATTGTTTAATTGCATTTAATGTAATAAAAAAAATTGGTTAAAGCATATTATGATATATTTATAATTGACTTCTTATCTAGATTAGTCTATTTTAAATATAATATGAAGCTAGAACATGCCATATTTATAATATTATTATTATTACTGTGACATTTTTATGTTAACATATGGCTATGAAACTGGCTTTCAAATGAAAAAAACCGCATCAAAATCGGTCAATCCGTTTGAAAGATACGATGCCACAGACAGATACACACACACACAGACAGACATCGACGTCAAACTTATGCCTAACACCCCTCTTTCATGATTAAAATCATCTTTACTAAATTTAGTTTTTTATGAATTAAAATAAAATTATTTTAATAGCTATTCAATTAATTAATTTAAAACAATTTTAAACAAAAATCCTTACAACAATTTTGCTTATAAATATTTTTGGTCATTACAAATTTCATAATCGTGTGCATGTGCGTGTGTATGACGCACAAAGTGATGAAACAGCTAAATAATATGTGATGTCACATAATTTAGAAACACCTATTATTTATCTAGATATTATTGATCTACATAAAAAGTTTAGGTTTTGTGGATTTCTAAGATTGCTTAACGTTTCACCATTTCATCGTTAGTAACATCGATATTAAAAGCTTACGTCAGAGTCAACTTTAGTGAGTGGATTTTATTTATCATCTTAACTTATAAGGCACAGACATAGATGAATTTCATAAAATCACTAGCAATTCACCCTCGCTCCGCTCGGGTTCGTCCCTAGTTACGTTTTAACATTTAGGATAGATTTCTCAGAGATTACATATTTTCCCGCAGTAAAAAGTATCCTCCATGTTGACCCGGATAACCAGCTATTATCATACCAAATTTCATTAAAAACTGGTTTTCTAGTCATGCAGTCACAGACAGACATACAGGCAGATAATTATTAAGATAATTATAAATTAAAAATTTTAAAAACCCCCTACGCAAATTAATTCTCATTTAACGATTACTCTGGTACGCGTGAAGCACTTAATCGAGTAATCATACGCCAAAATGCCTTACATCATTTTGGAAAATAACTGATACTCTTACAATGCTGGACCGATATTAACCAAACATAGCTAAGAACAAAATTGGTCAATCCGTTTGAAAGATACGATGCCACAGACAGACAGACAGACACACACACACAGAGACAGACATCGACGTCACAAAAAGAGGGGTGATAGGTATACTATCACCCCTCTTTTTGTGTCGGGGGTTGAAAATTCTAAAAACTTTAGATTCTGCCTCTGTATTGATAATAATGACTATTTCAATGAGATTTTTCTACAAATATTGATAAACAGATTCAACTCAGTTATCATTTTTTTATATGTATAGATATTCTTTCTATCGTAACACCTCAGAGTGTGTTATCAATAAAATTTATACAAGTTTCTATTTTGTAAACTGCGAGAGAGAGAGAGAGAGAGAGAGAGAGAGAGAAAAATGTATTTACAAGATTTTATTTTAAGCCCATTGCTAAACTGTCGAAATCAAATATGAAGATAAAATACATTCTGAATTTTCGTATGAATATTAAATAATTATAATCGCTTTAATTTACATGAAATTATATAACTATCGGACGGTATCCGCATCAAATTATCTTCTATAACTATACATATAATAAAATTGTAACTAAGCCGAATCTGTACATTAAATATTTTTTGGAAAATCTCCTTGAAATAAACATTATTATCGATACAGAGGCCGAACCTATAGTTTTTAGAATTTTTGTCTGTCTGTCTGTCTGTTACCGCATCACAGAAAAACCATTGGAGGGATTTTGATGAAATTTGGTATGGCGATAGCTGGTTATCCGGGTCAACATATAGAATACTTTTTACCGCGGAAAATATCTAATTTCTAAGAAAAAATGCATAAACAGCAATGTAAGAGTATACTAATCTGTAAAACCTAAGAATTTAGTTTTTGGTCATCTGAACGCGGGCAATGCTAGTATATAAATAAAAATTTTATGTTTTAAGCGCAAAAGTCGAGAACGGCTCGACCAATTCAGCTAATTTTTCTTTCGTATGTTCCTTAAGGTACACGGAAAGTTTTAATACAGAGGAAAAATATAAAATAAGGTAAATATATATACCTATATAAAACAAAGTCGTATTAGTTACACCATTTATAACTGAAGAACGGCTGGACCAATTTTTATGATATTTGTTTTTTTTTATTTCGCTTAGTCCGGAATAAGTATTAAAAAATCAGAAAAATTCACGAAAAAAAATTTTATATTGCTAACGCTGGCTAATAACTATTTATATCTATTTAAAACGTATGTAGCGATGAACCCGAGCGAAGCGAGGGTGAACCGCTAGTATTATATATGTATATATATATATATATATATATATATACCTTCTTATTTTATTTATAAAACTTTCTTCTTTCCCATAATTATTAAACATGTTAAAGTATTTCTTAAAGAACAGATTCAAATATATAAAGAAACGTGTCAATTTCCAAAGTTCCCGGAAGTTTTTCTAGTAAATCTTCTTTTTGATCGCCAAATAAGCGAATTAATTATCATAGCAACATGTGGAAAACAGTTTTCGATCTACATAATCTATACTATAATAAAACGGTAGAGGTCGAATGTCTGTACATAGAACAAAAATGCTAAAAACCGAGTCAGGGTAATGTAAGAAGACAAATAGAACAAATCCATTTTTTTTTTGTTTCTCTGTCTGTTTGTCTGTTTGTACGGGCTAATCTCCGAATCTATTGGACCGATTTAAATGAAATTGTGCATGGTGGTACCTTATATCCCCGGGCAACATCTTAGATACTATTCATCCCGGAAAATTAAAGAGTTCGCGTAGAAAAGTTAAAAAACTATAATAACTTATACAGCTTAGTACACAAAAACTACTCATTGGATATTAATGAAACTTTACAATAATATTGTTCATATATGACAATAACAAATCGGCTACTTTTCATCCCGGAAAATTAAGGAGTTCCCGTGGGATAGTTAAAAAACTATAGTATCTTATACAGTTTAGTACACAACAACTTATGCACTTAATTTAGTAAAATTTGGCATATTGCCGGTCTAACAACAAGTTACTTTTCATGCCGGAAAAATTAACGGTTCCCGTGGGATATATCTGTTTGTACTTTTCTAGAGGCGAACCCGAGCGAAGCGAGTGTGAGCCGCTAGTAAGTAATAAGTATGTTGTATACAATTTATTTAATAGATATTAATAATTTTCAGATAACGGCCAACAAGCCGTCACGCCTCTTCAGGGCCCGATATTATTAAGAAATGGTTCAGTGCCCGTCGTGCCCCTTACCTCTTATCCTACAGTCAACAATGGATCATTTTACCAAATTCCTGTAAGTATTTTTTTGTATTATTTTTCATTTTTAAGACTCCGTAAAATCTCTTGTCTTATGAATTTCATATTAACATACAGTAAGTTACAAATATTTATACATCTATACTATAATATTATAAAGAGGTAAAGTTTCTGACGTTGCAGAGGATAATCTCTGGATCCACTAAACCGATTTAGATAAAATTTGGTAAGAAGATAGTTTGAACCCTGGAAAGGACATAGGATACTTTCTATCCCGGAAATCACTCACTAAGGGGGTGAAAATGGGGAATTAAGCTAGGGACGAACCAGAGCGAAGCGAGGGTGAGTCGCTAGTACAAATAATAAATATTTATACATATATCGGCGAGTAAATTGTACCTACGTATTCAAAAATTGGCACAACACTAATATAATAGTACAAAGATATTTTTTCTGTTGTTATTGTTTGTGAAAATATTCCAGTATGATATTAGTAGTATAATTTACTTTAATAACAATTTAATTTAAAGAAACTTAAAAAACGTTTTTACCTGATTTTTATTATTCCGGCAATTGATAGCGCTATTCAAGTACATTAAAAAAGGAAAATCATCTGCTATATAAATAAAACAAAGTCGGGCTTGTTACAACATTTACAACTCGAGAACGGCATATTTTTATGATTTTTGTTTTGTTAAATTTTTCTTAACCCCGAATAGCAGAATAACTATTAAAACATCGAAAAATTCACGAATTTTTTTTTAAAAGAAAACTATTTCGTACTATACGTCAAAACGTATCTAGGAACGAACCTTTTTTTTTTACGTTGGGAAATGTATTTACGCTCGACGTGTGGGACTCACCGGCGTAATACAGCCAGTACTACCCACTAAAACCCAACAAAACCTTCCCCCGTCTTAATGGGGCGTCGCAGGATCGCTTACGCATTCAACTACGACGCCCCGACGGCAGGTCTGCCGAAGCAGACCACCACAACCATGGGGTTGCTCAAGAGGTTCGCACTCTGCTATCAGAGAAGTACAGAGGAGCAACCCCCGCATGGTACACCGCCCTCCGAAGAGGGCCACCTCCCACCGCCCACCGAAGTGGGCAACCTCCCTGTGCATTTCTTAGCTTCGCGCCCGGTTGGATTGCCGGGCACTACTGAGCCCCCCCCACCACGACAAGGTGAACGCACGTTGGGGGGGATCTAGGAACGAACTTTTTTTTTTTTTTTTTAACGTTGGGAAATGCATTTACGCACGACGTGTGGGACTCACCGGCGTAACACAGCCAGTACTACCCACTAAAACCCAACAAAACCATTCCCCGTCTTAATGGGGCGTCGCAGGATCGCTTACGCATTCAACTACCGACGCCCCGGACGGCAGGTCTGCCGAAGCAGACCACGCACCAAAACACCTGGGGTTGCTCCACAGTCCACTTGCTATCAGAGAAGTACCAGGAGCAACCCGCATGTTACACCGCCCCCCCGAAGAGGCCACATTCCCACCGCCCACCGAAGTGGGCAACCTCCCTGTGCGTTTCATGGCTTCGCGCCCGGTTGGATTGCCGGGCACTACTAGCCCCCCCACCACGACAAGGTGAACGCACGTTGGGGGGGATCTAGGAACGAACCTGAACGAAGCGAGGTTGAGTCACTAGTTTACACATACAACATAATATAGAAACTGGTGATGCATAGCGTAAACAAATTAAGTTAGATTTAAGAAATACAAATATAATTTATTATCTATTCATTTAAAAATGTTTTTTTTATATTTTAAACTAGCGACTCACCCTCGCCCCGCTCGGGTTCGTCCCTAACGTTGGCCACCCTTATCACTTAGGGGTATGGAAAATAGATATTAGCCGATTCTCAGACCTACTGAATACGCATATAAAATTTGGTAAAAATCGGTAAAGCCGTTTCGGAGGAGTACGGTAACTAACATCGTGACATGGAAATTTTATATATTAGATATCTTTTTTTTTAAATAAACTATTATTTTAAGAATCAAAAATATGCATTAATTGTATTACGCTTTTACCTTGGAGCAGGTAATCAAAGAACCTATAATTTTAACTTAGATAAAGTTTAATTCTACATGCATTCAAACAAAACCACGCGGAAAATCTTGTAAATTAGTAATAATTCTGTATATAAGTAATAAACTGCAAATTAGGTGCTGCGCTAGTTAAAAACCAATTACCACCTGTAAGAAGGTCTGCTGCCTTATATTGGTTACTGAGTAATTTACAAAACCATTAAAGTAAATGAAAATTGTTTAAGCAGTCAAGTATAAACGTGACTGTCATATCGTTGGCTTAAGACAAAATATTGAGTTAGGGCATACAAAATGACTAAAGACTTAATCAGTATATTTATCTATTAAGAAATTAAAGTATCTACATATTGAATGATGATGCCATACATATAGCCAACTACGTAGGAGATATAATAGTGCACAAATATTCGTGCAGACACCAGTGCACTGTCTATTTCTTTTAATATCTAAGTCCAATGGAACACGACCGGTGACTGACCAGTGAGATATACTTCGACACGACCGGTGAGAGTTAAGGCGCAGAACCGACGGATTAACGTGTCCTCTGAGGCACTAGGGTGAAACACCGCCAAATTCCCAACGTCGAGTTGTTACTGGGACTTCCTTAAAAGGACTCAATAACTGAATTTAGCCCGACCCGGGACTCGATCGCAGGACCTCCGGATGTGCAACCGTACATGCTAGCCACTACACCACCGAGGCACTTAAAGACAAAAACATTGTTAAGACTGTTTCAAGTCGTCGCAACTTACTCGTTTGTTAATATTCTTCTATATAAGTTTAATTCTAATTTGGGGCGTAGACAAAATATTATTCTACAATCAAATCAAATATGGGAATTATGAATTATAATACTATGACTTTCCAATACAAATTTTATAATTTTCTTTGACGAATTTTAATTGAAGAATAACTCTAAATACCTTGATATTTGTTTGTATTCCACAAAACGGAGCAGAATCGAACATATTAAAAATATATAAGTACTAGCAGAACCCGGTCGCGCTAAAATTACAAAAATCCCTAAAAAGGTAGTTTCATACAAACTTTCGTCCCCTATTTTACCCCCTTATAGGATGAATTTCAAAAAATGCTCAAACAAGTATTTATTTATTTTTTATTGAAGAGACCAAGTTTCAAGTAATTCCGATCATAACTTTTTTTTTGGATTGTATTATAACGTGTTTCCAGTGGGAATTAGATAATCTCCCGCGGTAAAAAGTAGCCTATGTCACTCTCCAGCCCTCCAACTCTCTCCACATAAAAATCACGCCAATCAGTCACTCCGTTACGACGTGAAAGAAGGACAGACAAACAAACAAACAAACAAACAAACAAACAAACAAACAAACAAACAAACACACTTTCACATTTATAATATTAGTATGGATTAACATCTGACGTTATACCTCAACCTCGATGTCATTGCGCCGCGCCGTACGTTGTGTCATCGCGTAAATCCATTATAAATATACACACATTCAACTAACGTAATAATAAACTATAATTTCATATACGTGAGAAAACTTACTTACGAAGTAATTATCATATTATACTAGAGACTTATTTTCGCGCTCTCGCGGTTGCGTCTCTAGGTACCCGCATTTTGCTTACAATTTCATGGATTTTATTTTTTGTGCGGAACCCTGATTATTTTTCTAAAATAAAAGTGGCCTAATTTACTCCTTAAAACATTAAGCTATCTGCCAGTCAAAGTTGATTTCTGAGATGTCAGTTTCTGAGACTAGCCGGAACAAACAGATAGACAGACAAACAAAATTTTTTTTCTAATAATACTGTATATACTTTCATAGACATTTAGTAGAAATCTGTTATTTTGACATTACAAACAAACACTTCCATTTTATTTATCTATATAGATAATCTACGATCGTAGGTACTTTGCAATATAAAAGGACGAAACCACTTTATTATCCGAACGAGTGAACAAACTTTCCTATAAAGATCTATTAAAATTTGCACAATTTTTATGTTTTATTAATCTAACATTTATCATATTCTCACTCACGGCCACATAATTGATTGCTTTAACATCATTTTGTACATTCCTAAGCAAGAATATTACTAATTTTTTGTCGTAATTACTATTACGGGCTCATTCAAACACTTAGATATTAGAAAATTGTCATAAATAAAACGACTAAATGACTAATGCCCACTTAATTCTGATTTAAGTGTCCATACCGTTATTAAGGTTTATAGATTTTCAAGCCACATTTACAAGTTACACTCGTAGTTTATATTTATTAAGAACATTCACTTTTTAAAAGATTTCAAGGAAAAATGTAATATTTTACCTTTACCTCTAAATCAGTGTTATATACGCTTGTAAAACATCGGCCATATAATACTTATTACTTAGTATTCGCTTACAAAGACTCTGTCACACTTTAAAATATACTGGTATGTAAAGAATAAAATTTTGTTTTTCTATATACCATATTAAATAAATAAATATGTTGGGACATTAACACAGCACCATTTAGTTCCATGGTAAGTACGAGGCTTGTGTTATGGATACCAGATAGTTGATACACTACACATATATAACTTTAAATACATACATATCTATACAGATAAATAAAATTGAAGTGTCTGTTCGTAATGTCAAAATAATACCTTTTTACTAAATGCATATGAAATTGTATACAATTTATAATATTTTTGTCTGTATGTCTGTCTGTTTGTTCTGGCTAATCTCCGAAACGGTTGGACTGATTTTGACGGGACTTTTACTGGCAGATAGCTGATGTTGTCCCATGTCCCAGCGGGACTCGAACCCGCTGGCACAGCAAGTAGGATCAGGAGTCAAACAACATAGTTTTATTACACGTAACATAGTTTTATTGAGCCAATAATGTCATAAGTAATTCATATGACTAAAGCCTCGTACATATTAATCATAGCTTGAAAAAAAGTATCAAATATTTAGCTGTAGAAAATAAAA